GGAAGGAAAACAACACGTAGAAGAAGTAAGCCGATTTAAATTCCTGGCATTTTGGGAAAACTCTTCTGTTCTGAAACTGGATTGCAAACTTAACATCCTGACGGGAGTTTGACTGAACACATCTCCTCAAATCGATCTGCACTGACTCCTCTCTTCAGGCTCAGCGGTCCTGGTTGACGGATTGGATATTTTAATTTGACACCTGACCAGGCTGAGGATGAGCGGAGCAGCAGACGTGGTGTGTGAAGGCTGGCTGCGAAAATCACCTCCAGAGAAAAAACTGCGCCGTTATGTGAGTAACATTTCCTTTAAAAACAAAGCAACTGAACATCATGTCTCAGGGATTCTCTCCTGAGTATTTTCTAAATTAAACCCTGAAGTTTTCTCTGTGTGTGTGTGTGTGTGTGCGTGTGTGTGTGTGTGTGTGTGTGTGTGTGTGTGTGTGTGTGTGTGTGTGTCATCACTGTTGACACAAGGAGTCATTTCCTCAAGTCCCAGTTGTAAAGCAGTTAAACATCGAGCGCAGCTGTCATGTTTCACTCTGATTAAACTTTGCTTTGCTCTGTGGATCATCAATAAAAAGTGTTAAAAGCTGATCTGAGCAAGTCAGAAAGACTTTTTACACAAATATAAATTGGGTTTAGAACTAAAACCTTGACTCTGTTTGGGTTTTTCCTGTGTTTTCTCCTCCACGACATAAAAAAGACACACAGGCTGTTTAGAAAAAGCGACATTTGGATTTACCACATGTTGTTTTTTTGCTGGACAGCAGCTGGACTCACTTTCCAGTAAAGCAGCAGCAGCAGCTTCACACACACCCCACATTTCTGACATGCCTCACCAGTGAGTTGAGCTAATCTCCTTTCTCCTTTCCATGTTTTCTCATAATCTCCATATTTCCAGAGAAAGTTGTTTTCTTTTCACAGCCCTCCATTTCTTTCTCTTTCACTCATTCACTGGACTTTCTTTTCCTCTTCTATTGTCGTTTGCCCTCCTTCCTTAGGAAGTATGTGTGGAAGGGAAGTCTGGGAGGAATAATGACATGCAAAAAAGAAGAAGTATATTTGGACTTGATGCTATGAGAAGGGAGCAAATAATGTAGAATATAGAAACGCAACTTTTCAAGTTGAGAATTTGAGATCGTTGCACTTTAAAAACACTCATAACAGGAAAGTTTAAAAAAAATAAAATTATAAAGAAGATTTGATTCTGTCTCAATTATAATCATAGCTGATTGGGTTAATAAGGGGCAAACAAGGAAGAAGAAGGAAAATCAGACATTTAGATGGTGGTATCCACAGTGCGGTGTGTGGATAAACACACTGCGTCCAGCTGTGTTTCTGTTGTCAACACACGATCAAAGACCTGCAGCGTAATGGCAGCAGCAGCAGCCGTGTGTTCATGTTAATATGGTTAAAGTTCCCTCAGTGGAAACCTCAGTGTGTGCGCTCGTGTGTTATGTAATCAACTAATCGCTCTCAGCTGGGCCTGTTTGGGAAAGAAAGAGGCCTCTCCTAGAGATTTAGCAGATTTGGAAACACAGGAACGCCAAGCAGGACGAGGTCGATTTTGTAACTTCAGCTACACTCACAAACATGCTGCAGACACGCCCCCCGAGGGTCTTAGAAACGAGAAAAATCTGCAAAAGTTATGCATTTCATACGTTGCATGAGGCTGTTTTCTTCCTCATGCAGCGTTTTGGATGCATCTCCTCCTCTCTCAGTGCTGGAGCCTCTCAGAGCCTGTTAGAGCAAACGGAGACGGGCTGATCACATCCAAAACCCAGAGCGCTGACGTCGTTCTTGGCTTGGACTTTCAGCACGGGTCATCCCGGTCTGGACAGCTTGGTCCTGCTCTGCTGGACATCATGTTTTCCACAGAGGGGTGCCGCAATAAAACAAGAAACGTCTGTAAATATCTATAGATGTTTCTGCAGTTTTCCAGATTATGCAGGAAAACATAATCTGTGTAGAAATCAAGTCATCCACAGGCCATCTGCACAAATCTGTCAGAAACAACCGGAACGAGGAGTAGGTGTCTTAGCATGTCCATCAAGCTTGTGTAGGCGCTGCTCACGCGCTTCCTTTCCGCTCGTTCCACCTGGAGCCGCCAGCGGCTGAGCGGTTCATTTCTCCAGAACAGGGAGGAGGCAGAGGAGTTTGATGTTTTCACAGATTATCTGTCTCATGATTTAAAACGACAGAGTGAAAATAAAAATGAAAAATTACAAATCATATTTATGAAAGTTATATATAATTTTAATTTAAAAAGGGAGTACTTCCTGTTTTCCTGTACTGTATTGGTATAACCTTCTCACATCATCTGATGAGCTGACTTAATACAAAATCACCCACTAATGGGAATCTAAACTAAACTAAAACATTTAGTTGTTGTTGAAGTTAATTGATTTCAGCTTCAGAGTATATTGGTACCGACTTAAAGTATTATTTTTTATTAAGACCTTGTTTGTTGCTTGTTAGTTCAGAAACTGAAATAATGTGAACGCTCAAACCTGAAGTTGATAATTACAGATGATTTAAAACCGTTTTGTGGAAATGAAACCCAGAAAGGAGATTTATTGAAGCTTTTCTGACATTATGATCACCTTAGACAAGCTTCAGCACATAAATAGACTGAGAGCCGCTAAAAACAGTTTAACGACTCTAATTCAACAGTGATTTTATTTGATTTTTTCCAATTTGGTTTTACTGATTAGGAACAGGATCTGAGCGTTTGGATCCGGTGTCTCTGCAGAACAGTGACGTGTTTTATGGTCACCTGAAACTCTGCCATAAATTAAACGTGACATTTTTTAATTGTCTCAGCGTCAAGAGTTAGCAGATGGGGGGGAAATTTTCAAATTAAGATGCAGTGTTAATTTTAGTTTAGCGGCAGGAAGGAGGAAGTGTTATTTTAGAGCCATTGTGCCCTCTTCCTGAGTTCAAAGGTCAAAGGAGGAAACATTAGGGAGCTTGAGGAGACTGTCGCAGGAAGAGAGCTTATCATTATTACTTGATAATAATGATTATCAAGTAATAATGATACTTGATATCATTATATCAAGTATATCATTTCTCTTTGAAATATCATTTCAAAGAGAAATGATATTTCCCTGAAAATGAGTGAATGAGAAACACTTTGCTGCTTCTCGTTTTAGCCCAGATCAGATGTAAAAAATTAGCTGCTTGCTTTTTGGTTTATTCTGTGTAAAATGTCACAGACTGAGATTCTTCTGGGTCCAGACAACAAAAACAATACTTCCTGTACCGTTTCTTGGAGACAGTTGCACCTCTCATCTCAAAAGTTGTGAGTTTTAGGGTCGTAGGTCAGAGTTGGGACAATGACACCAAGACGTGTTGTTGCAGTAGCGTAGGTGACTGAGCCAGCAGTCCATCCTGGGCGTTTGGCTGAGGCGAAAAAAGATCAGGGAGTGAAACGTTTGATCACATGGACGCATTGTCTTCAGTAGGTGAAACCAAACGCCACACCTCCTGATTATTTCCTGTCTTTATCTCAACAGCTGCCGTCGCTCTTCTCCTTCAAAAAGGACATCTAAAACATTCACATTTCTCAAAAAAGCGTTTTTTATGTCTGAAATGTTGGTGAGTTTTACGTTCCTGACATAAATGGCCGAGCAGACGTCACCGTTTGGGTGTTTTTATTTACAGAGTCAGACGGTTTCTGTCTGGGTGGGTTAATTAGTTTGAAAGCACTAAAGAGAATCTCAGGTTTGAGGAAAATCCTCTGGGGTTTTTCCAAAAAGCCAGTAATGAAGTCATCCCAGATGAGATCTATTAGAGAAACAATCTTATTTTATCACTTATTAACTCCAAGTCTAATGACTGCTGGCGGCTCCAGGCGAAGTTTTCTGTTTTACTCAGGAGCTGAAAAAGAAAACCGGCTTTTTAGAAATAAAGACGAGAATAAAAAAACTTCCCTAAATGAAAACAGCTCAACTAGTTTGAAAGGTAACAATGAATTACTAATATAGAATAGATCATTTTTATGGTTTGAACTTTTCCCAGACAAACTAATAACTTTTAATTAACCTGAATGAAAACAATATGCTGATTATTCCAACAACAAAATACAGTAAAATACAAGCAGTTATCGTTTCAAACTGACATTTTATGAATGTAAAATAAACAATTCATAGTGAAACTTGAACAAATAAATAAACTGAGCTACAGTGCTGAAGTTTAAACCACTGGTTTTAAAGACTGGTTTGTATGGGGAGGTTTCACGTCTTAAACTGTAAAATAATAATTCAGCTGTTAAAAAGACTCCGGATCAAAATAGAAACGGCTCAAAAGTTTCTCAAGTTAGAAGGTGCAGGAAAATATTTGCCTGCAAGCAGCAGCCGCCCTGCTGCTTTCATTGGACCAGCAGCTTGAAGACAAACGATTATCAAACGGACTGAGGGGGAAAGAGGATAAACAGCCACTTCCACTGCCATCTCTTACCAGCATTTCCTGTTCAGCTACTTCCTCTTCCTGTGTGTGTTTGGAGAGAAAGAAAGGGGAATGTGCCTCGGTGCCTAATTGGCACAAACTTTGATCATTTGAACACGGCTGCTGGGTTTTTGGTCCTGTTGGTTTTGCTTTGAAACGTTGGTCAGCAGGGATAAGCAGGGATTTCTGGTTTTGGACAAGTTGAAGTTAATTTCCTCACAGAGAAGCTGAACATTAACGCAAATAAACTGAAGCTTTTACAAACTAATCTTTCTCCTCTGAATATAAGCTGCAAATTCACTTTAAAATGTTTCTCCTTGCTCCACTTCACACCTTTAAATAATCACGGTCACACTCTACCTACACACACCTACACACACACACACACACACACACTCAGGTTGTGAGTCATGTCTAAAATATGAGGTGTCATTCTGTGGCTCTCTGGTTCATGGAGGAAGATGGTCTGTACCCACAATGCCTGTTGCGTGATGACGGCATCCAGAGAGCAGCGTCAGACATTGAGCAGCTCACTGCATGTGGGTCATGTTTGGTTTTACGTTTAGTTTGTGCTTACCGGAGCATTAAACCCTGGACATGAGGACAGCAGCCGTCTTCAGTCAGAATAGTGACGTGTGTAGGAGAAAAAGTGAAAAACATTCATAATCTGATCTTACAAGCAGCCACTTTGTTTATGAAGTCCAAAATTAAAGTCTGGAGCAGCGATTTGTAACCTTGATAATCCAAAAAGTAACTGTTTAGTTTTGCCTGCATAAAACTAGTTTAAAGCAGAAAATGCTACAAATGCAACATGACGCTTTGAAAAAAAAAAAGCTGTCAGGAAAGTGCTTGCAGCGCCGATGCAGACGACTGCTGAAGTGTGGCACGGTGATGAATTATTTGTAAAAGGGAAAAACTTAAACAGACCCGGTGTGAGCAAGGCACTGAACTAACCCGAACAGAACCAAACAGAACCAAACAGAACTGAACAGAACCGAACAGAACCGAGGATCTGGCTCCGCAAAAGGAAAAGACTGGGGGATAAACGGGACGTATTATGCAAAATTGACCTTTTGCTTGTTTTTTTTGTTTTTTTTGTACTTCCCTTTGGGTCCCTACTGCTTCAACAAAGATCTTAAAAAATTACCTAAATAGTTTTCAGGAATAATTTACTGTTTTTGGTGTCTGAAAAATGAGACATTTCAAAAACCTCTGGATTGTTAAGTCACAAATGAGAAAGACTACCCCTGAATTAGCAACCCCAGCTAATACCAGCCCATCACCTAGCAACCTCAGCTGAGCATAGACGGTCACCTAGCAACCCGACCACAGCTCCAGCACATCTGGTCAGCTGGTTTCTCATGTTTACCTCTGCAATTAAGAAAAAAAACAAATCTTTTGCAAAATGAGGATAGCTATATTTTCTAGTATGAGTTGCTGATGTTTGTGGGAAATGATTTAAAACAAAATCGAATAGTTTTGAAAAGAATCAAAAGAAAGATAGTCTAAAATGCTGGTGCTCTGAGTGAAACAGAAATAAAGAAATAACTTCACTGTTGTGTCCTCAGACAAAAATAGGCAATGAAATTTGTACTCCACCGTTTAAAAACTCATAAATTAAAATAAAAAAAAATAAAAAAACTAGTCACACATTAAAAAGTACAAATAGCTTAAATCATATTCATTCTGTTGTGGAAATTAAATGAACGCATTCAACAGAAAATTGGAAAACTGCTAACCCTTCTGCATCTGGTATTAAAACAAGTTGATTCTTTATTATTAAGAGACATTATGGAAGGTCCAAAAAGCCATTTATGCTCTTATTTTAACGGTGTTACATTTTGTTATGTGGACAAAAACTTCAGTGTCTCTGTAATGACTGTATTTTACCAGGCATGGAAAAGACGGTGGTTCGTCCTGCGCAGTGGCCGACTGAGTGGAGAACCAGACGTTCTGCAGTACTACAAGAACCAGCATTCCCGGCGGCCGATTGGGACCATCAACTTGAATCTGTGTGAGCAGGTAAAAACACCAAAATATGATGAAAAAAAAGTGTCATCATGACATTCTGGATCAAAGATGTAACTAGCGACTACGATGATTTATTTCGTTTAGTTTAGGTGCCTCTTTAAACCCACTAAAAGTAAACCAAATAAAAACAAATGTCTTGCAGCCAATCAGCCAAAGTACAAGGAAAAAAAATTAACATTATGAAAACCTGAAGAATTATTCATTACAAGAAAGTGTCTGCTTGAAGGAAATCCATTAAAAAAACGGATTTATTTTTATTTTTTGCAGTAGTATATTTCCAACCGTCTGTCAGGAGACGGTTAGTTAAACGCTTTAACAGACTTTCAGAAACCCGACTCTCCTCATTCCCCACTCTTCCTTTGCTCCAGGTCGACGCCGGCCTCTCCTTCACCAAGAAGGAGCTGGAGAGCAGCTTCGTCTTCGACCTGCGAACCGAGGAGAGGACCTGGTACCTGGTGGCCGAGTCCGAGGACGACATGAACCGCTGGGTCACATCCATCTGCCTCCTGTGTGGCTTCAACCCTACCGACGACGGTACCACAAAAAAAATGAGCCAAATCCAACACGTCCCGCTCGCTGTGCTTTGCTTGCCTTTAGTTTGTCCGTGTGGGCAGCGACTGAGTCAGTGTGAAAACTGGTAGGAGGAGAAAAAGGAAGAACATGTAGAGGAAAATATGGATGAAAGGTCCTTTGGGTTGTGTGCCAGCGACTCAGATGAGAGTAAAGTGTCTCAATAGGACACCAGCTTCTTTCTAGACACCAACCGTGTTTACTTTCAGACACGTGATTGACTACATCGTGTTATAATTTTCTCTTTGTGGTTAAACTGGATTTGCACAGTGAACACTCACATACTTAGCAAGTCAATATCCACAAATTCACACATTCGCAGATTTTCCTGACTCCAAATTATTCGTGGAAAATCCTCCGATTGGAGGATTTTTTTGGGAGACAGGATACCGTCGCGCAGCTGCTGCACGTTTGTCTGCTACTCTTCCATGATATCTGTTTGTCTGGAGTAGAAGAAGCTCCTTATCGAAACATGAAACCATAATCCTGAGTCACCAAATCTTGACCTTAACATGGAGACTTGTTTTGTTGATCATCTTGATTTCCCCTCTGGCATCAAAAAGACAGTTTCATTCACACACCAGCTGCTCACTGGACAGTCTTCCCTTTTCAGACTATTGTCTGTTGACCCAAGAGGTTCTTGTTCCTGCACATCAGTGGTTTCTGGAAAGCTGACCATCAGCTCTGCCATGTCTCTTAAATTCTTTCTTCCGCATTGTTCAGTTGAGTTCAGTTCCTTTATTATCCCCAAAGGGGAAATTTATTTCCCAACCAGGTATTTCAAACACACAAAATGACATAAAAGTGCATAGACAATATTGGAAACAGACAAAGCACGCAAGCGCCGATTCACGAATACAAAAAAACAGAGTTGTAACTCACAAATGGAGGGATCTGGTTTCTGTGGGTACAAATGAGTTTTTCCATCTATTGCTTTTAATCCTAACCTCCAGCCTGAGGGAGGAAACTCCAAATCCTGACGCATCACCACAACTAGACACGCCAGCAATTAAATAGAACCAAATGAAGATGTCATTAAATGTAGATGTCATGATTTATGGGAGGTGATGATGAGTTGTCAGCTGTGTTCTCAGAAGAAACATGTTTTTTTTTTTTTTTCTTCAAGCAGGCTCTTTGGTTTGAACAGACAGCTGAGCGCAACGGAGTTAGTTTAAAAATGCGGTTTGGAAAAGTAGCAACAATGTTTTGGTTGCATATTGTTGATTTGTGCAGACATAATACGGCTTTTTTCCCACTTTAGCTGCAGAAAGACAATTACGGTCCAACTCTGCCTCCGCCTCCGTGACCGCAACCAGAGGCACGCCTACTATCACCATGGTAACGGGGTCCATCCCACCCCCATACGACCCCGTGAGCGTGCGTCACCTGGAGCACGATAGCAGTGCAGAGGACGACTACCTGTGGCTGTCAAACTGCCAGAGTCACACCAGGTAAACAACCAATAAGGCTAAATTAAAGAACCTCCAACCTCGGATTTTGGTCCTAACTTGTATTAAATTAGTAAATTAAAATAATCATTCAAATGTGGGAGGTTGGGAGCTTTACCAAGATATGCATCTCACCAATTGGTACTAAAACTGGTTTCAATCTTATGATTCTGAATTTCGGCAGCAGAGCAAAGGAAATGGTGATCAAACAAAAGGATTAGCCAATAAGTCGCTGTGAGTTTTACTGAGGAAACTGTTTATTTTTGTTTGAACAACTCCTAAAAGATTCATCCTGAATAAAACCATCTGGAGAACAAAGGACCAAAGAGATTCAGGTTTTGACTTGTTGCATTTAAGAGCAACAAGGATTTGGAGTTCAACCCACATGTTTCTACCAGGGCTGACTTCTCCCACCGTCACGCTACAGTTCACCATAAAAACACTGCAGGCAGAGTTCGCCTGCGCTGATGAAGAGATTTCTGTTTCTTCTGGATTCATTTGTTTCGCTGGACTGGAACAGTCAGAGAAAAAAAGCTGCAGCCACAAGTTACTGGATTTAAGGAGGTAAAGTTTGCACCAGGTGTAATCCGTCACTTGTTTGTATCTTTACCTTCAGGCCTGCTTTGGGTTCATCCACCTCTCTTGAGACGGACTACAGTGACCACCTCTACCCTCCTCCCTCGGCCACCTTCTCCTCCTCCTCCTCCTGCTCTTCCTCCTCTTCTCTTCCTCCAAGCAGCCTTCCGCCTCCGTCCTCGTCCGGGCTCAGGTCAGCTCCTTGGACAGTGGTTGCCATGGCGAGCCCCCTCAGCCAGTCCCTGGACGCCACCATGACTTCCGACTTCCAGAGACGAGCCGCCCGCTCCCACGGCCACCCCTCCCCTCATCCCAGGAAGCACTCCTTAGATTTCCACCTGCGTCCGGCTGCCGTACCGCTCAGCGATGACAACCGCTCCGGCGCTCATCCTTCAAGCGCCATGAGTGGCTACCAGGTCCCCCGTCCGGCATCCACCCCTCAGCCGCCTCCCCCACGCCGGCCCTCTTCTACGCCCAGCGTGGACTCGCTAACTCAGGCCGAGCTCCACGCCGCCATCCCGCCCCCTCCCCCTCGGCCGCCCAAGCCCCCCACCGTCACACTGCATGGAGAGATCGCTGCGGTTTTCACAGGGCCTGGTGGGCAACCAAGAGCCAACTCTGAACCGGAGAGGAGGGATGAGGGCATCAGCAGAGGAACACTGACAAGAGGTAACAGCGTCATTACTGCAGAATATCTCTGCTACATCAATTATAACAAATATTGTACGCGGAGGATTCAGAAAAGGTTACATCCACTTGAATCCACACCAGTTCACCCCTGAGAGTTGTTTCAAACATGCCAAACCAGTAGGGGGCAGTGTAGTGCAAAGCAAAAAAACAAAAAAAAACAACCTACATCAGCCAATCAGATTGCTTCAAAACAACCACAACTTCCTGCTAGGAATTAAAGGGACCAAATTCACAAATTGTTCTTCCATTTGAGACTCTACTTCTGTAGAAACAACCAAAGCACTTAAAACAAGACTCAGTCAGGTTTTAGCAATAAGTTAATGTTTTTTGGTATCTGGAAAACAAGGCGTTTCAAAAACCTTTAGAATGTAACACCACAAATCAGCAGGCGTTGCCTAATGGTGCGTTTACACCAAACATGTTCTGAACATCAGGTGTGTCTGGTTTATGTTCAAAGTCTATGTGCAGGCCCGTCGAGGGCCCATCGCGGCACGATTTGAACCGTTTGGAGCATTTGATGCATCCAGAGCGTCCAACAAATACACTGACAACGGAAAACGACGACTACAGCGATTCTGACACTCTAATGCGCCCTACACATAGACTTTGTATGTAAACCAGACGCACCTGTGTGGGTGTAGAGCAAAATGTCAGCCATCTGCATTCAAAGATGGCTGACAGCTTCGAATCCAGCCATGCAGTTATTAGTTGATCTTGAAGCGTCTGACGCATTTTTGACGCGTGTAACACATTTGGTGTGAACGCACCATAACACCTAGCAAGTGAAGCACAATCTGTTACCTAGCAACCTCAGCGAATGGCAAGACCAATCGCTTGCAGCTCTGAGAGGTAGTTCATTATTATATTAATACATTGGTAATAATACTTTGTGTACAGAACTCTTTAATCAAATGTGTATATATATATATATATATATATATATATATATATATGTGTGTGTAAAACAAATCAATTAAAATGAAAGAGATTCTTAAAGTAAACTTTAACAAGTAGAAAATGAACAAATTACATTTTTACGAGAAAGCTTTCCACAAAGTAGGAAACTTGACCATAAATTAACATTAAGTTGGATAAAAACTGTTGAAAAGTTTTGTTGTCATAAACACTCTGCATGGTGCTAAATATTTTACAATTAAAATGGTTTATCTAAAAATGAAAGCATTTTTTTGTCGCTGCAGGAGTAAGATTTGTCGTGACCTTTGAGGCTCACAGGAGATCAGAAAACTACTTTTAAGAAGCTTTACTGGTCTCAGGTGGCAGGGCTGCAGATTTCATGCTTAGTGGAACAAACTCCTGCTTGTGTTCGGAGTAATTTCACCAGAACTGCAGTTATTAAGAAGATGAGAACTTTACCCCTCAACAAAACAAAGATGTTATTGTGTAGAAATGATTTCACGGCCTGTTAATTACTTTTGCAATAAATGTTTCGTTATAAAAAAGCAGCATGAACACTGAAATGAGGAGGATGTGTACAGCTGTCAACATGAAATATGACACACAGCTTGGATTGTGCCAGCCTCGTCTAAGTCCACATCCCATCACTCTCAG